GATTATCAATTTATGAAACAGTCTCAGAAGTGAAAAAATGTGCACATTTTAAGACCACTGACAAGGATATAATCACTTTTTTCATTTCATGTTTGATTGTGACAATAAAAAAATGATCGTGACTCTGGAGTTTCTAATCATATGCGTGAATGCCATTTTTTGCACCATTTGTGGTTGCATTTTCTGTCACTTGCAACCAAGAGTCTGGAAAACTTGCCTCATTGATTGGTATCTTATTGGAGTCATATGTGGTGACAGAGAGACTTCAAGGGGAGAAGACTTTGGAGTCTCTGTATCTGTAAGGTGTTTTACGCTGACTGACGGCCCCATGGGTGCCATGTTAACCTCTGTGACCTGCACAGACACTCCGGGTGAGTTCCTGGAAAAACTGACGTAACTGGAAGATCATGAAAAGGGGAAGAAATGATCAACCCCTGGGTGCCTACTTAACTTTGAAACATTCTCTACTGTTCCTTATTCCCGCCCCAGTTGAGAAGGCCATTGGACTTTGTAACCGTCCTTGGTCAACCTTGTGACTCCACACCCTATGACCCCCTCCCAGCTTAAAAAAACTGCCCTAAACTGTGACTTCTGTAACTTTCCACTGCCTACCCCAAACCTATAAAACCAACTCCTATCCCACCACCCTTCGCTCTCTCTTTTCAGACTCAGCCTGCCCACACCTGGGTGAATAAATAGTCATGTTGCTCACACAAGCCTGTTTTGGGGGGTCTCTTCATTCAGATCACGTGTTTCAACAATATCCAGGTTCCCCAGGTCTCCTGGGGAACAGTGACTCCTTGTTTCTTCTCAGCGTGCTCAGGTGATCACAGCTGGAGGAAGACTGCTAAGCAGAGCTGAAAGGTTTAAGAGCAAGGGTCACCCAGCTACTACCGTCAGCTGGCAATCCCAGGAAGAATGTCTTGGTTGCCATCCACTGGCTGGGATCCTGGCTCCAGGGAGGAGAGCAGGAACTCTTTCAGTGGGCTGAGCCCACAGGACTTGTGAGCCTGGGACTGGCGTCGACCTGGAAACACCGTCTGGGATCCATCCTTGAGGTTAGTGCTTCTCAAACTACCCGGGGCCGAGCAGTTTTGTTTCTAGCTATCAATCCATAATGGAATGTTGTAAAATATAGTAAAAAGTAATGTTATTAGAAATCTGACAATACAAAAAAATACAAAATGCAAGCCTGAGCTTTGCTCTATCCAATTCAAAACTGTCTAAATGCTTATTCTTCACTTCTGTATTTAGCTCTTTGTGGACAGTTCACAAACAGCCTTGAACTGCTGCGGCTACCACTGTCATTAGAACAGCTCTGGGAAAAGCACACTGGCTGTTTTCAAGTTTTCAAAAACACTTTCTACTTAAAATGCTTCATGTCTCCTAAGTTAAGTAAGTATCAGCTTGACATTTAAGGGATTCCGCCAGGTGGTCCTAAACTACATTCCCTTCCTCCATTCACTCATTATTTCGCTTCATCATGTAATCGTTCCATCCCTCCAAATACTGACCAAGCGCCCACTCTACACCAAGCCCACAGCAGGTGGGAGGATATGGTGGTGCACAGGGTAGGTAAAGCCCACGCTAGAGTGATCTCTCCATACACACCTGCACCCAAACCAAGCCGGCTCTCAAACTCTGCACCTTTGTCACCCGCTGCATGTCTGAATCTCACTTCCCATGGCTCTGTTCAAGTGTCAGCTACTCCATCTCTGATCAGCTGTCAGTCATCTGGCCCCTGCCGTGTTCCAGATATTATAATAGGCACCTTACATACAGGATCCCTAATTTTCCCCAAAACTCTACAGGATCTTACCATCCCTCCTGCCACTGAACAGCAAGGTTCTCCAGAACCTTCCCTGATTTTACAATTAGATACAACCTCTTTTTCTTCTAAAATGTATCTCTGCACATTTTTTCTTTTTCTTTCTTTTTTTTGAGACAGGGTCTTGCTCTGTCGCCCAGGCTGGAGTGCAGTAGTGTGATCTCAGCTCACTGCAACCTCCATCTCCCAGGCTCAAGCCATCCTTCCAACTCAGCCTCCCAAGTAGATGAGACTACAGGCCCACGCCACCAAGCTTGGCTAATTTTTTTTTTTTTTTTTTGCATTTTTCATAGAGATGGGGTTTTGCCATTTGCTTAGGCTGATCTCAAACTCCTGAGTTCTAGCCATCTGCCCACTTCGATCTCCCAAAGTGCTGGGATTACAGGCATGAGCCACTGTGCCCAGCCTCTGCACTGAAAAACGAAAACAAAATAACAATTTTTTAAAATTGAACTGCAACATACATTTAGAAAAGTAAACGTATTTGTAAAGCTCAATGAATATTCAGAAACTCCACACACCCAGGTAACCTGCACCTAGATCAAAAAGTAGAACCCAACAGCACCCTGAACCCCTGCTTGTGCCCCTTCCCAGTCCCTCCCCACAATGCTGACTTCTATCTGTAGGGTTTAATTTTGTGTTTTTATTCTTCATCTAAGTAGAATGCAGAAGCATTTGATGTGAGAATCCAGCTGTTTGCTGTTAAGCCAGACATTAACGAGATTTGCAAGTTGTTTTTTGTCTTGGAAAATCAATTTTTTACACAAAAATGTTAGATTAATCTATATGTGTTTGTTATTAATATTTTGAAATGAGTTAATAAACATTTTTCCAATTTGTTTTTATTTCTGATACAGTAAATATCTGAAGATGTAACCCACATAATCACTTTGGACTTCTGGATTTCTAGTAAAGGTGTCCTGAGATCAACAAGCTTATGTGATATTGTGCTGGCCTAGAGCCAGAACCGGAGCAAAACTATTTTATAAAATGCAAAACTGTTTTTAGATAAGTTGAAATGGCTGCCCCATTCTCCTTACAATAACTACTGTCCTTGGCCTCTGTAAATAGAACTGCTAGTTTGTTCTTCAAAACTATGTAAAGCTGCTTACCTTTTCTTATCAGTAACTGCTAAAATCTGTGATGTGTAAACAAATGTATACCTTGACTTCTGTAAACCACTGAGGTGAATCACAGAATCCCCTAGCCCTTGGAATGTCCGGAGACCCCCGCCCTTGTCTCCACCCAGGAGGTGAATCACAGAATCCCGTAGCCCTTGAAATGTCCGAAACCTTATCATCCCCATCCCCGCCCCTCACCCCCACTCCCAAGGTGGTTTTTTGGGTATAAAAAATCATGGCACCCTCCTTTTGGCACCACAGGTTGGAGAGACGTGAGTCCTCTGTGGTCGCCGGCATAATAAATGACCCTGCAATCTGGCATACTTTTGTCTTGTGGTAACTTTCTATGCTCCGGTCAAATACAACACTTAAGAATCTCCGACATAAAGGAAGACTTCCCGCAAAAGATGCTGCTTGTTCCCAACTCCCAGGAGATCATCTATAAGAACTGACCTGTGATCAAATGCATTTGGGAAATGCTATGCCTCTCTTGGAAATCAGAAAAATTTGAAGTAAATAAATGTAATCCACCTTAACTCTGTTTCCTAAATGGATTTGACTAAGGACCCTCTTTCAAGTGCTTCTGTCATCATCTTGGGGGCACACCTGGGAAACTCGTGGATAAATCGCAAGGCCCTCTGTCAGTCCTCATGAATAGCATCTCTTACAACTCGGCCTCTGTCACGTGTGGACAGCAGAGAGTCTGAAGTTCACCTCTGGCAACATGAAGAGTGATTCTTTTATAAACGTCAAGGCAACTAAGCAGGACAGACAGCCCCTTTATCTCTGCAAAGAGGTGGACTGAGGGCAGGAACAGGCCCAAGACAAAGACTGCACTTGTGGAGACAAATCTGGGTCTGTTCCATCCAAGACAGTCAATCGAGTCCCCACAGTTCTTCTCTGCAGAACTCAGACACAGTCATTTTAGCCTGGACATCTTCCAAAGCAGATGGTACCACACGCTCGCCTCAGTCATAAAGAAATCTCAATCATGCTCCCACAGAATGTTTGACTTGAAGTTATATAACTTCCTGGTGCCCTTTCCAAAAAAAAAAAAAAAAAGTGGTCAAATGTACCCCTAATGAGTCAACTTCTTTTATTGGATTATGAACTGTAGGCCAATTAAATGTTAGGGAATGCTCACCAAAAATGTTGACTTTGATTTTACAACTATCAACCTTATGTCTTCTTGACAGTAATTACATAATTGGGCCAGCTGTCTGTTAAGAAAACTCCAGGTTCACAATAAAACTATGTCATCAGGCAGCTCGTAGACAGCCTACAGTAACATGCAAGGCACTCTGATACAAAAACGAAAAAGGTGTGCCACTTCAGAAGCATATCATCTAGTAAGAGGCTAGACAGAGCAAAGGAAGAAGGAAGGAAGGAAGGAAGAAAGGAAGGAAGGAAGGAAGGAAGGAAGGAAGGAAGGAAAAGGAGGGAGGGAAGGAAGAAAGAAAAAAGGGAGGGAGGGAGGAAGGGAAAGAAGGAAAACAGGTTGAGCAACCCTAATCTGAAATCTGAAATGCTCTAAAATCTAACTTTTTGAGCACCAACATGACACAAATGGAAAATTCCACACCTGACCTCACGTGATGGTTGCAGTCAAAAGTTTGTTTCATGCACAAACTTATTTTAAAATATTGTATCCAACTGTCTCCAGGCTATGTGTATAAGGTATATGAAACATAAATAAATGTCATGCTTAGACTTGGGTCCCATCCTCAAAATGTCTCATCATGTATATGCAAATATTCCTAAATCCAAAAAAATCTGAAGTCCAAAACACTTCTGGTCCCAAGCTTTTCCGAATAAGGGATACTCAACCTGTCTTCTCACTTTCATCTTTGCAGTACCTAGTGAGGTAACTGGTAGAGAATCAACATTCAATATTTGTCTCAACAAATGTGTTATTTACGTCTAAAATGTTTACCTGAGTACAAACAGATGAACCACACACAGATATCTAGTCAAATATAATCTAGTCAAATTGTACTTCTTGGCACTATAATTTAACTGCTTTGCAAAAGATGATTTACAAAAAGACACCATTGCAAAGTAGAAATAAATCATTTTAATATGTATTTTTCACTTCTGTTAATTGATTATTGATTTCTATGCAAGGGTATGCATCCAGTGTGACCTGCTTCATATTTATTTTCCACCGTGGCGCAATCTTCTGCATGAGGGGGTGAAGCTGTTTATTCTTAAACAGCACGAAGTACCTTGTCCTCAAAGAGCTTTATCAACTTGAACATCCTCAAGAGCTCTACAAGGCAGCTCAGCATGGCAGTTTTTGACTGAAATCTCTTGTCTGGAAGATGGCAAAATAGACCCGGACCTTCCCAAGCCCACTGGTTGCTTGTATTCATATCACAGCTCGCTTGGGTAAGTGGTAACGACAGAATAATAAGCAGATTGCTCCAAATCCAGCTGGGTGAGACAGCTTCATTTTTGGAAAATCAACTGAATCATGAAAACCTTCCTAATGGTATAATTTGTTCCAGAGTTCTTTTGATACTTAAGAAGGGACATATTAATCCTTGTGCGCAGTCTTTTATGACAAGCACTCTTATTTATGGCATGACAGAGTTTTCTCCTCCAGCCACCATTCTCTGGTGAGGTGACTGTATTCCATGTAGAATAAAACTATGAAGAAATCTCCTTTCTAAATCAGGGCTGGTGACAGCCTTCTCATTTCCTGCCAAATGGATCAGACCACACTTTCAACCCTATGGAAAGAAACAGCAACAAAACACAGGAGTCATTTTTAAATGTCCTATCACTTTCCTCCACCCCAAACAAACAAAATGACATCAGAATTGAGTTGTGCAATTTACAGTGTAGTTTAAGCTGGTGGGAGCAGGCCGCCAGAACCCTGGCACTAAATGGCCGGGAAGCCATGGCAGCCATAAGGGACTTGCCCCATAACAGGAAGACACACATCTGGCCTAGTTAAAAAATAAGTAAATAAAAAAGAACGTTGCCACAGATTACAAGAACTTTGGTGAATAAATGGGAAACCTCTTATTCTTGGCTAACTTGGATCCTCTTAAAGGCACTAACCATTCAACCATAAAGGGAGCTTTTTAGCCCTTGTGCAAAGCAGAACCCCAAATCAATTCAAATAGCTGACAAGTAAACACTCCTTTCCCATGAGGGTGGTGTTTAAATAGGTGCTTGGTAAATAAGTCTGCCAAACAGCTATTCACGTCTCATATCTAATCGCACACTTGTTAACATTTTTATGCTCTCTTATCAAAAGGAAAAGAGGAACCTGGCAAATGAGAAAAAAGTCTTCTGGAGTGATATATTAGAAGGAAGTCTTGGGTGGCATCTATGAATGGCAACTGTTGAGAAATAAATAGCAAAATCACAATGTTGTTTCTAAGCTAAAAGGCATTTTCCCACTCTCCATGCCAAGGCAAACACACACAAACCACACAACACAGTAGTACAAATGAGATTTGGTTTTGATTTTTTTTTTTTTTTTTTTTCAGTTTACCTGGTGGCTGCACATCCTCCTGAACAATTCCAGCCCGATTTATGGCTTGTTCCTTCTCTGAGAAACACAAGAGAAAAATCATTCATTAGAAGGGGGCAGGGAGGGAGAAATCTTTGTATTTACATGGGCCAATGACATGGGACACTTAGAAAACAGTATTTATGAGTGCTGTTAAATTCAGAAATGCTATTATGCAAAGCTGTTAGGTTGTGGAACTTAGATCCTATAATGCAAGAGAGATTAGGCATTTTCAAAAGAATACAGAAATCCATACTTCAAAAGAAAAGCTCCCCAACTAACATCTTTTCTCTATGATCTCAGCATTTTGGAAAGACAAGAAAACAACAACAAAAAGGACAATTTTGAAAGAACTTGTGGGCGTGGTATCATGAGGGGAAAGCTGCTGAATCGAAGGAACAAGTACAATTGAGAAAACTGTGTAGTTCATACGTCTAAAATGCGCTCCACTGAAGGACTAGACTCGGAGCTAAATATGCTGTGTTTTTGATAGGAAATAGAGCAGAAAATTAATCTTTGGGTGGGTGGCTTTGGTTTGGATAATTGAAGCTTCCCTAATTGATTGCAGGTGCTGTGCCAATTAGTAAGTGCATTGTAGTGACAGCAACTAAGCCAGTCTCTTTGGAGATGTCCAACAGGCAAGGGCCAAGAGCAACTGGGCATTTCGTATCTGCCGGCTTAAAGCACTCTGACACATCTAAGTGGTTTAGAATAAACCCAGGGTCTGTGAAAACAAAGAGTTATTATTTGAAGTATCTTGACAAACAAATGGCAGCTTTTCAGGAAAAAGCCTTAGAGCCAAAGGATGTTTACCACTAAATTATTGTAATTAAATGTTGTAATCGGACCTTTGTTTCAATCAGGCTGACAGTGTTTCTTTAAATCCACATTTAGCTCTTATTTAGTATTGGGCATTTTCTTTATTTTGGCCTCTGGATTCTCATAAAGTTACACAAACATAAAGGTACAAGAAACAGGGTTTGGCCAAATCTAATATTCACTGAACTTGCCTCTCTAGTCATGTGACAGAAAGTCAATCCTAAATGATTGACCTGACAGTTTTATCAATACTAAGTTTTGCTGTGGCAAACAAAACACTGGGCAATGGGGATTATGGGAGTCCTGATATCCAAGTCTAAGAGGGACAGAGAGAAGACAGGCTACTGAGGCCAATTACCCAATGGTTTCACTGTTTCTCTCTGAAAAGTAGCAGATGAATGGCAACTAAGACTCTCTCAAGAGAAACCAAAAGATTTTTTCCATCTAGAGTGGATACTATGGAGCCTCTAAAGTGTTGGACTTTCTGAAATAACACAAGAGGTGTTCTCATTTAAGATATTAAATCCTGGTTGAACTGAGTCCTACCACCCTATCAACATGTAAGTCTCAAACTATGGACGTCTCGAACATGCTCTTGGAAGATGCCAACATGTAAAAGCCCACAGTCATCAGTCTTGTCAGGAGTGAAAACAGAAATAATTTTCTATATCTAACTAAAAGGTCTATTTTCTGATATTACAAAGGGGAGATTTGAATTTTTAAAAATAATTATCAGAAAGCGTTCTCGACATAGAGATTTAATAAAATCAGACATCCTGGTGTACCACACACATTCTCCAAGAGGCAGGTACTGCAAAGCAAAAGAAGCTGGCAAGCTGCCAAGCATCAAAGGAAGCTGACTTTTGGTGGCAAGGACAGAATGCCTAATTGTGTTCTAGCCTCTTATGATGCAGTGGAGAACCAAATGAAGAGAAAGAAATCCCTGTCTTGATGCTTTCTTGCTAACTGCTAATGAGGTTGAAGAGAAGTTGAAGATTTATTTTAAATAGCTCATAATCTCTTTACAATCCTTGTCCTAATGCAACCACCTCTGCAGTTTGGCTTGGTCAGGAAATTTAAACCACTTTGCTGGGCCAGTTTCTACCAGCTGATAACCAGGTATTAGCATCCTATCTACATCCCCTGGTTCTTTAATCCATTAATGTTTTATAAATACTCTAAGGCCAAAGCAGTCTTATGTAAATTCATGATGTAACACAAAGACACTTTGTGAATGCAGAGCATGCTGAAAGGAAAACAGAAACTAGTCCCTCACGAGTTAGCAGTGCATCTTGATTGAGGTTGACAGTAAGTTTCTATTTCCCTATCTTTGGAAAACAGCAAATGTATATAAACCCCAGGAACAGGGTAATGGCAGAAGTCAGGGGTTTAACTATGTAAACAAGTCAGGTTAAGCTTATTACCAGCTTCAGCAGTGAGCACATTTCTATCACGAGTGAAATGATTTAAACTCAACTATGGAACACTGGGTTAAAAAAACTCCCCACTCCAGTGTCTCAGCAAGCCCGACTCTGCCCCCTGGTGCTAAGGCAGTGGTGTGATTTGTAGTTTTAATTGAGGATTGTTATCTCTAGTCAAGGGGCCAAAGTGTATTATTAAAACTAGTAATACATGCAGACTGACTGCATTTTGTATGGTAGTAAAATAATCTACCTAATAATGTTTAAGTCTTTGAAGACAAAAACATATCCTTGTATTAAATGTCCATGCCGGGAAATAAATTGACTGTGTGACTTGTTACTTGAACATTTATAACCATGCACACAATGCAGGATACCCAAGCCCCAGCTCCCTCAGCAGTCTTCAGATTACTTGCTGAGGGTGCTCTAGTGGAGGACCAGCACATAGAAACCTAAAATAAAAAGGCAAATGAAAGCTGGTGCAGCGTATGACCTCGGGAACCTACCTCCCCATTTCCTCTTGCCAATAAACAGTTAAAAGCAACTCGGCCGGGCGCGGTGGCTCATGCCTGTAATTCTAGCACTTTGGGAGGCTGAGGCTGGCGGATCACTTGAGGTCAGGAGTTCAACCAGCCTGGCCAATGTGGCAAAACCCTGTCTCTACTAAAAACACAAAAATTAACGGGGCATGGTGGCAGGTGCCTATAATTCCAGCTACTCGGGAGACTGAGGCAGAATTACTTGAACCTGACCGGGTGGTGGTTGCAGTGAGCTGAGATCGCACCACTGCATTCCAGCCTGGGCGAAAGAGCAAAACTCCGTCTCAAAAAAGAAAAGCAATAAATAAAATAAAAGCAACTGACATCTTGAATTGTGATAAATGGCAACATTGGAATGTGTGCCGTATATTCCACACAAGTTGAATATCCTTTCTCCAAAACTGTTTGGGAACAGAATTGGTTTGGATTTAGGATTTTTTTTCAGATTTTGGGATATTTGCATATGTATATAACAAGATGGGATGGGATCCAAGTCTAAACATGAAATCCATTTGTTTCTATACATCTTATATATGTAGAGTGAAGATAATTTTATACAATGTTTTTAATAATTTTGTGCATGAAACAAAATTTATATTAAGTACTTATGTGTGGAATTTTCCACTTGTGCTGTCATTTTGGAGCTCAAAGAATTTCAGACTTTGGAGCATCTTCCATTTTCAGATGAGAAATGCTCAACCTGTAATGGCACTGTATCAATATTAAATTTCCTAAATTGGAAAACTGTATTGTCATTACATAAGAGAACGTCCTTGTTCTTCGGAAATACAGGCTGAAGTGTTTAGGAAATGAAAGCTCACGATGTCTTCAACTTACTCTCAAATAGTTCAGCAAAAAAACAGTAATAATTAACAATATATGGTACATCTAACTGTATATATGTATGTATCTACATATGTGATATATAGCGGGGGAAGCAAATGTGAGAAAATGTTAACAACTGGTGCATCAAGGTGAAGGATATATAGAAATTTACTGCACTGTTCTTGGATCTTTGGTCCGTTTGAGTTTCTTTCTTTCTTTCTTTTTGAAATGGAGTCTTGCTCTGTCACCCAGTCTGGAGTGCAATGTGGCATGATCTCGGTTCACTGTAGCCTCTGCCTCCCAGGCCCAAGCGGTTCTGCTGCCTCAGGCTCCCCAAGCTTGAGTTTCTTTTTACATAACTGTAAAACACCCATAAGAAAGTCCAACACCATTCTGACTATTCCATGGTGGTTATTTCAAAGTAGCTATCTTTTAAAAAGGAGCAAATATAAAATTATTTTTTTAAAAAAAGCTTTTCAATGCACCCATGTTGCTGCTGTTACCTAGACACATGTCCCACCTGCCTCTGGGCTATTCCAGAACTGGAAGTTCACCGGTGGCCAGTGTGAACCAGGGGCCAAGGGGAAGCCATATGACCACAGGAGCAAGTGTGACCCAGTTGACTGAAGGGGAACACGTGACCCCCTGAAGCACTGCGCTCCTCCCAACAGTGAAAACATGTCTGTTTCCTCACCAGAGCCTGTTTGAATCCAGGGAACTGTGCAATGCCAGTTGGAAAACAAGACGCAGTCTGCCTGTGCATTTCATTTGATTACATGGTGAAAGGAATGAAAAGCATATTCTAAGTGCCTGGCATGTAATAAGGAAAATGCTCTTACAAGGTAAGGATTCCTTCTGCATCAGATGATTTCCAGGACCCTGTCCTGCCCGGACATACCAACCTTTCGGGCAGGGCCACTGAGGTGCAGCAGAAATGGAACAGGGCTGAGAAGGAGCAGAACTGAGGCCTCACAGCCCTCCCCCATGGCCTTGCACTTGGCTGGCTGTTGAACATTCTTTACTGTCTCAAGGCATCATGAGACAGGGCATTAAGTATAGGCAAGGTCAAGGGAGTTAGGGTCTAGTGACCATGCAGCAACTATCGTGCTGAGTAACCTTGGACAAGTCACTAAATGAGGGGACAAAAATGAGCTCAAGCCCCTTCTGCCAAAACCCTATGATTTTATGCTTCTGAACATCCAATTAAAATTTAAAATGAAGACGATCACAGAAAATGATCTTATTCTGTCTAATTTCACTAGCTGGCCTCAAATGCATGTTATTTATAAAAGGCCATATTCAGGGTCACTGTCTAGTTCCAGGAAACAAAGACAGATGAGCCTAACTGTGCTCTTCCCTAACTGTGGCCTTTTGAGACAAAACAGGCTATGCCAACAGGGTAAAAGCTGAAAAGCGTCTGGGACTCCCTCCAGAA